TGTGCATGCTAGGTTTTATATTAGTTGCATTCATGCATATCGTGCATACTGCATTGTGCTCGGGATAGGAGTTAGCCCGAGCACGGGAAACGAGGGACGTTTCGTACTCCGAGTGACAGAACGTGTCTCAATTCCCTGTCGCCGACACTCCGGATTATCCATGATGGAGTCTCGGTCTTGTTGTGTTTATACGTGCATTCATTTCATATTAAGTCGTGCAATTCAACTCCTCGGCCATCATGTATCGGGATGCGTGATTGGTGGCACGAGGATCGAGGTAAGCATACATATGTGAAAATACATTACCATGCCCCTTTCTTGCTCTCTGTTGCAGCAAATCAAGAATCAACAACCTTTCAGAGCTTTGCACAATATTCCGAGCATAAACTGTAAACAGAGGCTAATCGAGGCGTCGCAATGGATTTCCGCACAAGGCAACCCGAGCATGCATCATTCATCATCCGGAGCAGAGTCGAGGCAGTCCCTAGCTTGCATGCTAGTTTACTACTTTTCTAGTTTAATTTGTTAATTAATTAGGATTTTATATTTATTCGGACTGTATTATTCATTTGGGACTGTATATTATTTATTCGGACCCTCTGCGCGAGGGCAATGTTGTAATAAGTGTGCGTGCGTGTGATGTATATCTTCCAACCCCACGTCTTTCTCCCTTTTATTTACCAGCTTATGATGGTTAGATTAGGGCATGTTTCAATTAGCATACAGTATGATAGCATGTTTGTATTCATTCATCTGTCTTGCATGCACCGGGCTCGGCGTATCATACTAACTGCATTTGTATTTCAATTCCTGCATCATTCATCTGTATTGCATGCATCGGGCTCGGCGCATCATACTAACTGCATTGTATTTTCAATTCCAAGTTGAATACATGTTAGTTGTAGCATTTCACATGCCATCTTTAGAATAGCCGAGCCTATCTTAGTTGCATTTTGCATGTGTTGCATCAGGCATTTCTGTATAGTTAGGATCATGCATGGATTTCTAATTAGCTTCTGTTTTGGTTTGGAGTACTCGGTGAGTTTTTACGCTTTAGCATCCTTGCATGTGTGTGAGTGTTGCCATGATAGCATGCTTACCATGAGGCTAACTGCTTATGTGATATATCTGCCTGAATGCCTGTGGGTGAAAGTTGGGTTATTTGGATTGGAACAATTCATCGATTGTGAGTTTTAAGCCCACTAGATAGTGGCAAAACCATGTTTTTCTAAGCCCACTCGAGGATGGCAAACTCACGTCTTAGCCTACTTGCGAGTAGCACCATCAAACCATTTTCCAAAACAAACATGAAATGTTTCATTCTAATTCAGACGACCCAGTCTATACTTGTATGCTGTGCACATCACATAGTAAATCTAGGCTAATAACCGGAATAAGAGCACACAATGTTTTCAAAACTAGATGTCATGGTTAGTAGAGGCCGATCTTTGATCGGGCGAACGGGGGTGCTCACGAAGTGACCTTCCCCAATCGTACCCAAGTTCCCGAGCCGAGGCAACTTTGGTGATGACGGACACGTGGCCTTAGGCACAAGTCAAGGTTTCCTAAATTTTCCAAAATAAAATATTTAGGTGGCGACTCTGTATCTGGCAAAGCAGTCCATTTTGGCACTTCTTTTCTAAAAATCTGTTTTCTCAAAACGATTTGCCGGATTTGGACTCTTTGGTTTAGATTAAGAACCGTGACATTTGAGTCCTGAACTGTAGTGAGCCCAAAATGAACGGAACGGGGGACATCATCCCTCCCGGGGCATTCGGGGACGTCTACAAACAGCCCAAAAGTAAAGTTGAGCAATGTTTTTTTTTTTCCTTTTCCAAGATTGTCCATAACGTGATTTTTATATAGCATTTAAATGAATTCTTCTATATTTTTTAAAGGGTAATGGTGTGAAATTGCTCACAATTTTCAAATTCAAAGGTGATTTCTAAAAATTTCATCTCTTTTTTGAGAGTAGCACACATTATTACTTGCACACCTATTTGCGTGTGTCAAGAGGCTAGTGATTTGTAATTTAAGAGTAAATTAAAATTTCCAGCCCTTTAATGAGTGCCTACTAGTCAAATGGTGGTGGAGGTATGGTAAGGAGGAGGCAGCTTTGTGGAAACAAGTGATATGCAGTAAGTATGGTGTTTTAGGTGGCGGATGGTGCCCCTTTTTTAATAGTTCAGTGTGGATGTCGCATACATGGAAAGACATAATATCTGTGGCTGTAGGCAACACTGCTTTGCGTGATTTTTTCTTGAAAAATTTTAGGCTAGTTGTTGGTAATGGTAGAAGACTGCATTTTTGGACTGATAAGTGGTGTCACAACCAAAATCTGAGTGTGTTTTTTCCCAGACTATTCTCATTATCAATTGAAAAAGATGGGAAGTTGGCTGATTTTTTCCACAGAAGGGTGTCAGATTTAGATTGGAATCTGGTCTTCAGGCGTCCTCTCCTAGCATGGGAAGAGGAGGAAGTGCAAAAACTTAATGATTTTCTGCGAAATGCGCCTAGGCTCCAAGAAGGGGTGGTAGATTCTTGCTCCTGGCTAGCTCATCCGTCTGAAGAGTTCACTGTCGCATCAACTTGGAAGTGGGTGGAAGCAAGGCAAGGGGTAGACTTGTCAGTCACTAGGTGTATTTGGAATAATGTAGCCCCTCCAAAATTTCAGTTCTTGAGTTGGTTAGCGTGGAGAGGAAGGATTAAATGCTCTGAATTTTTGCAACGAATTTGAGTGTTGAGTCCAAGTATTTCTGTGCTCTGTGTGTTCTGCAAATCTGAGCTGGAGATTGTTAATCATGTTTTTCTTCACTGCCCTTTCATCTGGAAATTGTAGGCCAATTTAGCAAATTGGTGGAATTACAAATGGGTTAGTCCTGGAACAGTGGAGGGGCTTCTTTTGTCGTGGTCAGGCATTAAAATGAAGAAGAAGATGCTAACTGTTTGGGATACAATACCGGTAGCAGTGTGGAGAAGCAGAAATGATTGTGTATTTAATAAGGTTCAACAGGATTGGAATGCCTTGGAAGAGCTAATAAAGGCTAGAGTAGCTTTGTGGGTATCCTCTTCCTTGAAGGGGGTTAATTATTCGGTGCACGATGTGATTTATAAACTGAATCAACTCTGTCTCTGTGTGTAGTTAGTTGATGTCTAGCTATAGCTCTGTGTTTTGATTCTGTTTTTTTGCTGAAATCTTAATCTGCATCTGTGCTATTTTATGCTGTTCTGTATCCGAGTCCTGATTTGCTCTGTCTGATCCCTGGGCTGCATTGTGTTGTTGTATCTGATTTTGTTTTGTCCTGGAATTGGTAGGGTTCAGGTGGTAGGCTGTCGAGTTGCTGCAGTTGTTTTGTTGAATCTGTTTTGGGTTGGCCTTGGTTGGATGCAACTGTTAATTGCTGTCTTGAAGAGTTGCTGCCGGTGTTTTGTTGAATTTGTTTTGGGTTGGCTTTGGTAGGATGCAACTGTTTTGTTGAATCTGTAAAGGCTTTCTGTCTTTTTTGTTTGCTTGGCAGGGGAGGTTGTTTTAGCTGGATTATTTTGTTTTCAGTTTGGGCTGCTTTGTGTTGATGTGTGTTGGTTATGAATTCAGTTGGGTTGCATAGTGTTGTGGTTCTGAATCTGTCAAAATGGGCTGGATGCTAGCATCTTGTTTATGGTCCATCTCATCTTGATTGCTGCTGCTGTGCTCATGGCTGGTATGGTTTGGGTGATTTTACTGCTGGTGCATTACTGCTGTGAGGATGAAAGGGTCAGTGAGGTTGTAATTTTCTGTTGGTGCGTTACTGCTGGTGCATTACTGGGGTGTTTTCCTGCTGTTTTGGGGATTGGAAGGCTGTCTGATCTGTTTGTTTTCTGCTCTTTTTTTTCGCTTTTGTTTTTGTGCGTTGGTTTCTCACCAACTAGGAGGTTGGAGCTTCATTTAGCTCCAAGCTCCTCTTTATTGATGTAAATTCCTTTTCCATCAATAAAGTCTTTTTTCCTGATCAAAAAAAAAAAAATTTACTGAAATTTTACTTTCGATTTTTAGTATTTGAATTTAAAATTTGATGTACTTACGTATAGGTCCTAATAAATGGACTTATTGTCTAATAGGTCCTATGAAAAAAAAATTTCATAAAAAAATGTCACTAATTGTAAGTTTTAGCGACAATTTATAAAAATCATGACCAAAAAAAGTCACTAATTGTCAATTTTTAACGACATATATAAAAAATTATCACAAAAAAATTATTTTTAGGGACAATTTTACCAAGATTTATTTTCAATAGGACTTGATGAGAATTAAGTCAAACTATTAGGACTTATTGGTAGTTTGTCCTACTTAAAACTCTAGTTTCAATTTGGTTACTCCATCTAAATTCCTGTTAATTTTGTGCATGTATACGTCTCAAGATGAAATTTTACTTTCGATTTTTAGTATTTGAATTTAAAATTTGATGTACTTACGTATAGGTCCCAATAAATGGACTTATTGTCTAATAGGTCCTATGAAAAAAAAAATTAATAAAAAAATGTCACTAATTGTAAGTTTTAGCGACAATTTATAAAAATCATGACCAAAAAAAGTCACTAATTGTCAATTTTTAACGACATATATAAAAAATTATCACAAAAAAATTATTTTTAGGGACAATTTTACCAAGATTTATTTTCAATAGGACTTGATGAGAATTAAGTCAAACTATTAGGACTTATTGGTAGTTTGTCCTACTTAAAACTCTAGTTTCAATTTGGTTACTCCATCTAAATTCCTGTTAATTTTGTGCATGTATACGTCTCAAGAGGTTGACAAATATCAAAAAATCGTTAATTTTAATGTCTAATTTGAACAAAAGGACCAAATTAAGTATAGTGACTAAATTGTTCAATTTAAAACAAAAGTTGGTCAAATTGGAAGAGTTAAAAGTGTCAAATATAGTTTGTATAACAAAAATGCCAAGAAAACAACTTGAAATAGAAGAACGGAAAAGAAAAAGATCATACCATTGACATTACTACTTTGATTCAAGACAGCTCACTTGCTCCCCCAAGTCCTTCACATAAAAAGCCCAATCTGGTGGCTTGGCTATTAAATTCTCCAATTGAAGAACAATCTTGGATTGGTGTTGGACCAACTCTGCTTCAACTTGAGCTGATCCATTCTCATAAATCAATTCATCCTCCAATAGTTTCTCCCACAAGATACAATTCTCAGAGCTCAAATTCGGACTCATTGGTCCAGGAGCCGCATTAATCTTTTGGTCCTGACTCGGACTACTTTCAACGTCCAACGAAGCAGAGAATAGTCTTTCCACTTCCGAATGATTTGTTGTAAACTCCTGATCAAGGTTTTAAAAAGCGGCTGCAACCGTTACGGTTTTGGCGGTTACCGCCACCCGTTACGGCCGTTTTTGCAGTGTGATTGAGATTCACAGGTGTGTCGGCCGTAGCGGTCGTAACGGTGCCGTAACAGCCATAACGGCCTGTTACGCACCATTACGTAACGGTTCCAAACTGTTTCTTCTGAAAAAACACACAAAAAAAATGATGAAAATGGGGGAAGAGGGATAGAGAGAAGAGAGAAGATAAAGAGAGAAAATGGAGGAGCAAGAGAGAGAGAGAAGAGGGAAGATGAAGAACATGTTATTGATTTGTTGAAACTGTAAGACCTATGCTATTCTATTCAGCTGCTATCACTAAACCATTTTAGTGATTTAAAAATATGAAACATATTGGATCATACTTAAAAATTTACAAAAATTGATCAATATTTATTTTTAACCCAATAAATATGATCATGGAAAAGAAATATGCGTATCGGTAAGTTTTTTTCAAATTGTGCGAAAAATAAAAAAAATCACGGTTCTGGTTACCGCAACCGTTACACTACGGCCTTTACACCCCACAACCGCAACCGCGTCACCGCCACCGTTACGGCGACCGCAACCGCTTTTCAGAACCTTGCTCCTGATTCTTATTGGTTACTTGGTCCTCATTGCTTTGTGGGGTGGCTGCCAATCTCCGTTTGTTCGCGATTTGGCCATTGCACAGTTCTTTTTTCAGCCTCATAAGATGGATGAATTGATGGAGCAAGGCCGGGATTGAGAATGCTTTGGCCATGAATATCAGTATATGTTGTTGCTTATACACGGTGTTTCCTATTCGCTCCTTAACCGCGGCCAAGTAACTCTCTGTGTTCTCTTGTTGTTGTTTCAGTTTCATGATTTCCATTTTCATTTTCATCCTATCATTCCTTAGTTTTTCAAGCTCAGTCTCGATTCCGAAATTGGCTGAATTGAGAAAGGGTCTCATGACTCCTTGTTGCTGCACATTTTGGGGGTTATGTTTTCTCCTCTTTTTGTTTTTCAACAAATGTTTTTTCCCTCCTTGAAACGCTTCATTGGCAAATTCCCATATGTCTGAATCAATCTTCTTAAAACCCTTTATACCAAAAACAATAAATTGCACATATAAGTGAATTGGTACTTTAGTCCGGTAATTTTGTAATTTCAATTTCAATCTGCACTTTCAATTTTAATATTTTATTAAAATATGATCCTCCATCACTTACCATTATAATTCCCTCCGTCACTTTTACCATTAAAATAGAAAAAGACCATGCGTTAAAATTAGAACACCAAACTGAAGTTTAAAATAAACTATCTAGTTTTAAACAAATTTTTTTTTTTTTTTTTTCAAAATGTATGAAATCTTCAACAGCTGTGGAATTGAGAAAGTTGAATCGATCGACAGATTTGAGCGAGAGATTCGAGCGACAAATTCGAACGAGAGCGGTTGTGAGATTCGAGTGAGAGACAGATTTTAAGAGGGAGAGAAAGAGAGAGCTCAGATTTGGGAAATAAGGAGAAAAAAAAAAGGGGGAATTGAGAGGGAGAGAAAGAGAGCTCAGATTTGGGAAATAAATACTGATTTTTATTATTTGTAATTTACCCTTCAATAAATACACAAATCCAATAAATAAAATTTGAAAAAAAAAAAAGGTTCAATTAGCCATGAACCAAACAGAGACCTTTAGAAATAGCTATAGCAACAAAACCCACAAAGAATAAACCTCAAATTTAGAAGATAAACACTCAAATTTCATAAATAGATCATAATTTTAATAGCGAGAAGAGTTTTTTTTTTTTTTTGAACGAGAAGAGATTGGATTGGAAGAATATAGAGGACGACCGTTAAATAATCCGTCGCAAAAAAATAGACGCAAAAAGTCATATTTCTAGTAGTGATAAGTGTTAAGTTGGCGAATAAAGCTTGAGAAATTGTTGTGCTTGAAGTATTTGGGCAAGAGATTGGTAGAGAACTGGCGATGACCCCAGACTACAAAGCTTTTTTGAGAGGCAGTCCATGAAATGATGATGTCAGTATCAGGGTCTTCCACCATGTGAAAGGTCTTCTTCAGAAATGGAGATGGTCCTGTTTCATGCAATCCCACCATGGGTTTTGGGGCTGATGAGATTGGTGGTGAACATGGCATGGAATCACCACAACCACCTCCTTCTCCTCCTACTAGTACTACCTCACCACTTACCCAATCATCATCAACCAATGCCACTGCTTCTTCTTTGACTTCCACAACTTTCACTGTCTTCTCCTCCTCCTCCTCCTCCTCCTCAAATAAACCTCCACCACCACCACCACCAGGTATGTCATGTTTAGTGTAAATTATTCATAATTAAAAAGTAAAAATTAAAAATTAAAAATACTTCTCCTCTAATTTCTAAATAATTAATTTATTTAAATTATTTTTACCTAATAAACTATAAGTAAGCATTCTAAATAAATAAATAAACTAGAATCATAACCTGCATCAAATAACCTAACGCAAACTCTAAAATTAAAATAAGTTATAATTATCTCTTTTATTTTATCCGTATTAAAATATTATTTTCTTTTGATAAATTCAATTATTTTAGGTAATACAATTATTATACTTGAAAAATATATTAACTTTCTAAAATTACCTTTTGACTTTTTTTAGGAAAATCAATTCTCATAATTATACTTTTTATGTATAAATTTAAAAGAATAACAAAGTAAGAAATTTATATTATTTTATCCCTTGACTTTTAAAAGAGACTAATATTTGAGAGAATAAAAAAAATTAAATAGGAAATTACTATTTTGGAACAGAAAAAGTAATAAATTGTAACTACCACCCCAATATGTCAAATCCATTGAATAACTTTTCCTTTTTGTGAGATCAAGTTTCTTTTCTGGGTCCACAAGCTATTGGAGAAAATTTGAGTCTTGAAACGCATCCTTCAACCACGTCCTAGTGCCACGAATGCAACACACTTTGTCCTTTTTTGAATACACTAGTAACGTATGTATATTTTCTTTTTTAAGGTAATAAGTTAAGTTAGTAACGTATGTATATATATATATATATATGTATGGTATCGTTTGAGAAGTGGGTTGATTTTTTGATTTTTTAGCTTTTTTAATTATTTTAGTCTGGGGCTAAAAAGCCTGGTTTGAGAACGGCTTTAAGCTTTTTTGACTTTTTTGTGAGAGAAAGAATGTAATGATTATGGATTGGATGTGATGTTTTGTCTTATTAGGCTAAAAAGCCTATTTTATTTTTGTGGCTATTTTAACCAAAAAAGCCTCAAAACTATCTTCCTAAACGGAGCTATAGTAGTTTAAAAAGACCTGGGCAAGGTAATTATTATAATATGTTTTAGTTTTATATTTTGATAATTTTTTAAAAGTTAGAATATTATTTTATAAAAATGTATAGGATAAATCATTAAATATATGATAAAATTATGTAGTATATCATTTTTTGATTTGTTATATATCTAATGATATAGACTCTAATTCTATTACCATATAATTTTAGATGAATTTATGAGTCTTTAATATTTCTTCCGAATTTATAAAAAAAAAAATTATGGTTCGTACCTTTTCTCAACAGATAAATATAAAATAAATATTAAGATAATTCTCTCATCTAAAAAAAATTATTAAGATAATTCACTGAACTAATAAAGAAATAGAAGAAAATACATACAAATGACTAATTTTATTAATACATAAATCATATTCGCATAACAAATGATTAATTTTATTAATAAGTAAATCATTAAATAATTAACAATTTATAATAATATGAAAAATATTTTTCAGTTAACTATTTTGTTATATAAATAAATCATTAAGTCAATTAATAGTTTTTAATGATATGAGAAATATTTTTCAATAGATAATTTTGATAATTTATTATTGTATGGGAGAATAGTTTTTTTCCCCTCCGAGTATTGTGTTAAATTAAAATTTATAACAAACGATAATTGTAATTTTTAATATTATAGAACCGATTCATATTTTAAACAAACCTTATGGGTGTATTTGTAATTTGTTAAAAAAAATTATGTTTCATAATTGTCTAAGAATATTTGTGTAATTACGAAAAAAACCTGTTTCATAATTGACCAAGAATATTTGGAAAAACCTGTTACATAATTGACCAAGAATGTTTGCGTAATTATAAAGAAAAAAAAAAAAGCACTCAACATATAGGTCACCATAAGTAAATTATTTAAAATAAAAAGGCGAAATCGAAAAGAAAAGACAAACCTCAAGTACCTAGTTTGAAAAGGCCTGTGCAAGACACGAGCTATTATTACAGTATATTTAAATTTTATATTTTGATAATTTTTTTTTAAATTGGAATATTGTTTTATGAAATTGAATAGAATAAATCATTAGATATATGATAAAATTATGTGATATGATATGTATTATTTTTTGATTTGTTATAAACCTAATGATGTATTCCTTTCGAATTTGTAAAATAAAAAATTATGGTGTGTAGTATTTCTCAACAAATAAATATAAAACAAATACTAAGATAATTCTCTCATTTAAAAAAAACTATTATGATAATTCACTGAACTAATAAAGAATTAGAAAATATATATATATATATATATACAAATGACTAATTTTATTAATACATAAATTTTACTTACATAAAAATGACCAATTTTATTAATAAGTAAATCATTAAGTAAATTAATAATTTTTAATGATATGAAAAGTATTTTCCAGTTAACCATTTTGTTAATAAATAAATAATTAACTCAAAACCATTTTTTGTAATATGAGAAATATTTTTCAATAAATAATTTTTATAATTTATTATTGCATAGGAGAATAGTTTTTTTTTTCCCCATGAGTATTGTGTTAATTTAAAATTTATAACAAATGATAGTTGTAATTTCTAGTATTATAGGAACGATTCACATTTTAAACGAATCTTATGGGTGTATTTATAATTTGGTAAAAAATAAAATATTTATGTTTCATAATTGACTATGAATGTTTGCGTAATTACGAAAAATCCTGTTTGATAATTGACTAAGACTGTTTGCGTAATTACGAAAAAACTTGTTGCATAATTGACCAAAAATATTTACATAATTATGAAAAAAATCTTCGCTCAACATATAAGTCACCATTAGTAAATTATTTAAAATGAAATGGTAAAATCAAGAAAAAAAAATACGAACCTCAAGCAGCCTTTATAACAAACGGTAGTTGAAATTTCTAGTATTATAAGATCAATTCATATTTTAAACAAACCTTATGAGTGTATTTGTAATTTGTTAAAAAATAAAAAAAAATTATATTTCATAATTGAACAAGAATGTTTGCGTAAGAATGTTTATGTTTCATAATACACGATTTATGTTTCATAGTTACGAAAAAACATATTTCATAATTGACCAAGAATGTTTGCATAATTATGGAAAAACTTGTATCATAATTGACCAATAATGTTTGCATAATTATGAAAAAAATCTTCACTCAACATATAGCCCACCATTAATAAATTATTCAAAATGAAAGGGCAAAAAAAAAAAAAAAAACTTCAAGCAACTAAGCGGTTATATATATACTAGTTGAAAAAGGCATGTGCAAAGCACGGGCTATTATTACAATATGTTTAAATTTTGTATTTTGATAATTTTTTAAAAATTAAAATATTATTATATGAAATTGAATAGAATAAATCATTAGATATATGATAGAATTATGTCAAACGGTATGTATCATTTTTTGATTTGTTAACCCAATAATGTAAACTCCAATTCTATTACCATATCATTTTTGGTGAATTTATGAGTCTTTAACATTTATTCAGAATATATTTTAAAAAAAATTATGATATGTAGCTTTTCTCAACAAATAAATATAAAACAAATACAAAGATAATTCTCTCATCTAAAAAAAAGTACTAATATAATTCACTGAACTAATAAAGAAACAGAATAAAATAGATATATATATTTATATACACAAATGACTAATTTTATTAATATATAAATTATACTCGTATAGCAAATGATCAATTTTATTATTAAGTTAATCATTAAGTCGCCGTTTGGCATTGGCTTTTTTAGTTGATTTTTTTGAGTTGAGACTTTTTTAACTTGAGATTGAAAAGTTCGTTTGGTTTGAATTCTCTCATCTAAAAAAAATTACTAAGATAATTCACTAAACTAATAAAGAAACAGAATAAAATAGATATATATATATACACAAATGACTAATTTTATTAATATATAAATTATACTCGTATAGCAAATGATCAATTTTATTATTAAGTAAATCATTAAGTCGCCGTTTGGCATTGGCTTTTTTAGTTGATTTTTTTGAGTTGAGACTTTTTTAACTTGAGATTAAAAAGTTCGTTTGGTTTGACTTTTTTGATTTTTGTGAGAGAAAAAATGAAATAATTATAGTTTGTATGTGATATTTTGTCTTATTGTCTTATTCAGCAAATTTTGTTTTTTGTGTTTTTTTAACCCAACTAAGTTAGCCAAACGAAGGCTAAGTAAATTAATAATTTTTAATGAGATGAAAAATATTTTTTAGTTAACCATTTTGTTAATAAATAAATTTTTAAGTCAATAAACAATTTTTAATGATATAAGAAATATTTTTCAATAAACAATTTTGATAATTTATTATTGCATAGGAGAATAATTTTTTTTTTTTTTTTTTTTTTTTGTGTTAAATTAAAATTTATAATAAACGATAGTTGTAATTTCTAGTATTATAGAACCGATTCATATTTTAAACAAATCTTATGGATATATGTAATGCCCCGAAATAAATACGATAAACCATCCATTATGGTAAGTAAATAACAATGCGAATCAGAGTATAATGTCCTTCCATTGCATAAGACTTAATTGTACAAAAGGGTGACACATGCAAATATACATTCATAAGTCTTAACCCTGAATTTATAGCATGAGTCAATAATAAATATATGAAATACAAGTTAAACAAATAATTGAAATGCCCTGAAGGTTACAACTTTCCAAAACTATACTTGGTTACATCAAAATAGATTTAAATCCAATACATATAAAACCCTAGGTTTGTACAAAATAATAATATGTAAACAAAATCAAGCCTTTGCTCTAATCCTCCAAACCTACTGCCTTGGCGGAGGTGTAACGCCCCTAAATAATATCATAAATCCATCCAAGACCATATGTAAATAACAATATGAATCAGAGTATAGTGTTCTTTCATTTCATGAGAGTTAATAGTACAAAAAAGTTTGATTA